AGTTCCTTGCAGAACTTGGATATTAGCCCCCTTGTCAGATGTATAGTGTGCAAATATTTTCTCCCATTGAGCAGAGTCTCTTCATTGTAAGGGTAATTTATTTAATTGTGCAGAAGCTTTTTAGTTTGATGTAGTTCCATTTGTTTATTTTGCTTTTGTTTCAGTTGTCATTGAAATGGAATCTCCAAAGATATTCCTGAAGCCAGTTTCTCAGAGTGTTTTTCTTATGTTTTCTTCTATGTATTTTATGGTTTATATCCAAGTCTTTAATACATTTTGAGTTAATTTTTATGTATGTTGTGAGATAAGTGGTCTAATTTCATTCTTTTGCATGTGGATGTTTTCTCAACACCATATGATAAAGAGTCATTCCTTTCTCTAATGTATATTCTTGGCCCCTTTGTTGTAGATTAACTATCCATATAAGTGTATTTTATTTCTGTGTTCTCCATTCCATTGGTCTGTGTCTATTTTTATTCCAATACCATACTGTTTTGATTACTATAGCTTCACAGTATATTATAGTTTGATTACTATAGCTTCATAGTATATTATAGTTTGATCTGGGAGCATGACACCTTCATTCTTCCCCTTTAGAGTCAGGATTTCTTTGGCTGTTCAGGGTTTTTTGTGATTCCATATGCATTTCAGTATGTTTGTTCTATTTCTTTGGTGAATCCCATTGAAACTTTGATAGGGATTGCATTGAATCTGCATGTTGCTTTGGGTAAGGTTGCCATTTTAATTATGTTAATTCTTCCAATCCATGAGCAGAGTAATCATTCCACTTTTTTGTGTCTTATTCTATTTCTTTTACAATGTCTTATAGTTTTCATTGTAAAGGTCTTTACCTCCGTAAGCCAAATTTATTCCTGGGTATTTAATACTTTTTGATGCAATAATAAAGGGAATTATTTTCTTAATTTCCTTCTTGTCTAACTCTTTTCTTGCAGATAGGAATGTGCTTGATTTTTGTAGGCTGGCTCTGCAACTGCCACCTATCATACTTATTTATTGTTTCTAATAGATTTCAGTGGAGTCCTTAGGGTTTTATATACATGTTATCATGTCACCTGCATATAGTGATAATTTTACTTCTTTTCCAATTTGGATTCCTTTTTTCTCTTTCACTTGTCCAATTGCTCTAGCTATGATTTCCAATATTATGTTGACTAGTAGTGGTGAAAGTGTACATCCTTATGTTGTACCTGATCTTAGAGGAAAAGCTTTCAATTTTTCACCATTGAATATGATGTTCACTGTGGTTTTGTCTTATGTGGGCTTTACTGCATTTATATATATGTTCCTTCTACCCCCACTTTGAAAATTTTTAGCATAAATAGATGTTCAATCTTGTCAAATATTTTCTCTTCATCTAATGATATGGTCATATGATTTTTTTCTGTCTCCTTTTGTTGATGAGGTGAATTACACTGATCAACACTTCTCTAAAGAAGACATACAGATGGCCAATAAGAGTGTGAAAAATACTCACTATCACTTATCATCAGGAAACTGCAAGTCAAAACCACAATGGGATACCATCTCATACCCATGAGAATGGCCCATATGAAAAAGACTAGCAAAAACAGATGTTGGTAGAGTGTGGAAAAAATGGAACCCTGGCACAGTGTTGGTGGAATGTATACTGGTCTATCCCCTATGAAAAACAGTATAGATGCTTCTTAAAATATTAAAAGTAGATATACTATACAATCCAGCAGCTACATTCCTAGGTATCTACCCAAAGAATGTAAAAACACTAATTTGAAGGTATATATGCACTCCTATGTTCACTGCAGCACTATTTACAATAGCCAAACTATGGAAACAACCTAAATGCCCAATGACAGACGAATGATTCCAAAAAAGTGGTGTATATACACAATACAATATATGTAAAGTATCAAAAAGCAGATAAGGTAAATACTTCTCATTGTGTCTTATACACTATAGCATTTTCTATATATATTGCATTCCATATTTCCCCACCTATGCCCTATACCTCTCATACTTTCCCAATCTTATGTCTCAGAAACTCAGGGACCAACTGATCTATAAGGCTCACTCAGTCATTTCCCTGCCAAAAGATAATGCTAAGTGAGGTAAGTAGGAAAGAAAAACACATACATAGGATGGTTACTTAGATATGAAATACAGAGAACTATAGCAAAGGGTCAGTCAAAACCAAACCAATAGTAAACACCTAACACCTGACTTCAAAAGTGAGGCAATCACAAGGAGAGGATGGTAGGGTGGAATAGGGGAGGGAAGGGGCCAGTGGAACATGGTGGAAAATAGAAATCTTCTGGGGCACTGGTAGTGGGTAGGGTATAAAAGTACACATTTGTAGAAGTTTGAACCTATAGTTCCTGGAGCAGATACAAAGATGTAAACCTACTTTACCTCAATAAACATGATTTGGCAAAGAAAAATAAAAAGATGGAGAAGACATGCATCTCCCTTGGGGACACTGCAAGATCTCCTCTTGATTCTGTCTTTATAAAAAGTAAGACCCTGTTGTTTTGTGGCTGTCATACCATCTTTTATATCTCTAAAGCTATTAATCACTCTTCTTGTAAAGTTTAGTTCTGAAACCCTCCTAGTAGTAAATGCTCTTGTTCTTTTTTAAAAATTACTATTTTCTTGTTAGTTTTCTTGATGTTGACAGTCCTCATATTTCTAAGTCATTCCTGACTGGCCTAATCTTTTTAGACTCAGCTATCTCGGTTCAGGCAGCCTGTCTTGGATGACAGACTGAAGCAGACATGGTTGCTCACACTTCCATTTTTTGTGCAAAGAGAGGATGGGCAGAGCTGCAGACGAGGTAGCTCATCTTCAGAGCTTCTCTGGTCTCTCTTTGCCCTGCACATAAGCTACCTAAGGCTAGTCCCTATTTCTCCATCCTAAACACCAGGTGGTGAAGGGAAGAAGGGATGCACAGGAGTGCATAGGGAAAACTGTTCCCCTTACAGCAGCTCTGCCAAATTCTCATTGGCTGTTCCTACCCCCTCCTCTGCTCCAGGGTTCCACCACTTCTAGATGTGGGGCTACTAGATGAGCTACAGCTGTGTCTTTCCCAGCCTCTCAGGAATCCCTTGAAGCCCCCAGTCCCTTGAGAAGTCTATTTCTCACCTTCTGATGTGATTAGAGTCTACTTCTTGTCTTCTGATGTGATTAGAGAGTCATATGTTTCTTTATTATCAGTTTAATAATTCCCCATTTGGTGCAGTGGAGGGAATGTGGAGCATATACTTATTCAATCTGATACCTTGAAACTGCCATTTCAGAATCTGACCCTTAAACTGAGCCTCCTGAAGAATATGAAGGATATATGGGAATTAGAAAAAATACCGGTATTTATTGGATAATTGGTGCTTTCTCTGTTTGCTCTTAGATACAATTTCCACTTTCCTCTCTTTGTCTTTGCATTACTGAAAACTCCATCCCCTGGCTCCTTTATCAAGTGTTCCTAGGTGAATTTAGTTAATAGAAGGCACTGTTGGAGGACTAGAAGATGAGGGTGAAAGAGAAGCCAGGATTCCCGATGTGGGTGACGTCCCTAAAGCACCTGTAGCTCTTCAGTGCCCCCAACTTACACTGGATAGAACTCATCATGGTGGAGCTCTTGCTAGTCAGATACAGGCTGAGTACCTGGATAACAACCTTCTACCAATGTCCCCTCAGTTCTAAGGGTATAGGAGTCACTGCTGTTCCTGATTTTTGGGATGATGCATTATTCCCACAGTGCCATCTCCTGTATAATAATTTCCTCCATTAAATACATTTTGTTGAGAGCCCTAGAAGGCTTTGTTTACCTGGATGGACTCTGCTGCAAAGAGCAAAATTCTGAAGAGACATGTTCAAAGATAATAATTAGTCATTTCTTTCTTTGAGGGTAAGTAGGACCATAGTGAATAAATTCTCAACTTGGGTTTCTCAATAGCTAATATATCCCTAGCTATTTCAAGGAATGACATGAAGTTCTTAAAAATGTGAATTTGACAATATATTTCACCTGAACTGCATACATGGCTCAAAGCAGTTTTGTAAGAAAAGCCTTAGAGGCCTATCATATTACTAAACACGGCATTCTAGAATTAGGAAATCCATCCTAGAGGAGTGAAAGATTTGAGTATAACAGAAACCTTGCTGGAGGCTTTGCAAGTGTTAGACCTACCTCTAGAGGCAGCTATAAAATAGTTTAAAGAAAATACTTTTTATCACCTCTATTACTTACCATTTTCTCTGTTGAACAATGGTAAGCTGAAATGATAACATATCTTAAGAAAGATTTCGTGTAACTCTGTTTCGTATTTGGAAATAGGGAATACCCCTGCCTGCTAAGCCCAGGCCATTATCGTCACTCCATGTATGCTTAATAAGCAGCACAGAAACAAGAAAGCCCACACTGTGGCTCATGATCAGAGAGGGAATGAGAGCAAGTCGTGCCCCTGATATGCCATGTGGCTGCAAATCTAAAGGCTCTTAAGGGTGCCGCCCCATGGAAAGCCCTGAATACCTGCTTTCATTCCCATTTCAAGCGTTTGAACTATAATATATGGGCCATCTATTTATTAAAGGAGAGAGCTTACTTTGGCATGGGATAAATTGGTGCTTGCAGCAAGATGCTGTTTAACACAAAGGACGTTTCTTGAATTCTTTTCAATCTCAGACCCACAGTAAGAGTGTCTGGGGTATATGTTTTAAAATTGCATGACTATTATACAATCCCTTTTCTTCAGCTGGCATGAGAAGTCTATTCCCATCCTCTCTATGCTCTGTTCTTTACTTCCTCAAAGCTGAGGCGGCAAAAACACTGCCAGCCTTATCCAGCTTTTCATGGAAAGCCGCCACTCTTAACTGGCGCCTCAATGCAATTTTCAGACTGTCCCAGGAGACCTCTGTGCTTTGAGGTGAATTCATAACATTAAAGCCAACAAAGAAGTGAACACAAACTTTCCCTGTGAAAGAAAAAGGAAAAAAGTCCACAGGCTTACTGAAGCAGCTCTGCCTCTGTGAGTGCCTCTGTCCTCAGCTCCCCAGTGACCATGGCCAGTTCATCCTTCAGTTCCTGGATTTCCTTTTGTAGGCGGGTAATCATCTACAAATGGCAAGGCAGGAGAATAAATGTCAGCGCCTCATTGGGGGGAACTTGGTGAGAGAGAATATACATCTTTTAAAGTTATGAACTACTTTAAGGATCAAAATACAGAGAGACAATGTAGAGGCATTCCTATCACCCAGTTTTATAAAAGCTTAATATTTTGTTAAAACAGTTCTAGAATTAATTTTTAGCAAATAGAACATTACTGATAAAACTGGATCTTCTCATTCCTATTCCCCCTCTGTTCTTCCTGAGGTGATCACGATACTGCATTAATGGGGAGCATTTCCCTGCATGTTTTCTTACATTTTTTCCATATGTATGGATGTAACGGTAAATAATGCATGATGCCATTTTGCATGTCTTGAACTTTATGGAAATGTTACCCTACTGCATATGATCGCAACTTGTTTGTTTTCCCCTCACATTATGCTTTTGAGATCGTTTATATTTTCTCATTTGGCTCTTTTTATTTTAAAGATTTATTTATTTATACATGCATCGGGGTACAGGTCAGATGTGCGGGAGGGTGAGAGGATTCACCAGAGACAGAGTGGGGAACAGAACAGGTGGACTGACTGAAATACACTGCTGAGGGGAGCAGCGGGTGAGACAGGAGAGATCTGCCGCACCATTCATTTGGCTCTTGTTCATTAATTTTCATGGTTATATGGTATCTCTGGGAAGGAAGATGTCAAAATTTGCTTATTCACCTGTTAATGGACATTTAGGACTTTTACTTTTGGTATTACAAAGAGTGTTGCTGTGAACATTATAAATCTCTTTGTGCACAAGCGTGAGAATTTCTATGGTATACACTTAGAATTCTGTGGTTGTAGATTACGTGCAACTTCCTTTTATTATACATTGTTCTTTAGAGTTGTTCTGTAAATCTATATTCTCATCAGCTAGATAGGTAAGTTACGGTTTCCCCACATTTCTTGTCACTATGTATTACTGACTGGCACTTTATATTTGCCTTTCTGGTAGGAGTAAACACATCTCATTTAATTCTAATTTGCATTTCCATGATTAGTGAGGTTCATCATGCTTGCATATGTATATTGGCTGTTGGGTTTCCTTGTGTGAATTATTTATTCATATTTTTGCCCATCTTTCAATCAAGTTGTTTTTCTTTTCCTTATTGATTTGCAGGATTTTTTATATTCTGGATGTGAACCCTTTATTGGTTTTATGCAATGCACATGTTTTCTCCCAACCCATGCTATGCTTTCACTTCATAATAATCTTTTTGTTAAATGAAAGTTTTAAATTTTAATATAATTGAATCATCAGCTTCTTCTGTGATGAGTTGTATTGTTATGTCTTCTTAAAGAAAATCTATTTTACCTAAAACAATGGAAATATTTTCCTCCCTGTTCTTATAAGAATTTTAAAACTATGCTTTTCACATTTAGGCTGATTATACTTTTTGTATGAAGTAGGAGATATGGATCTGATTTTAATTAATTTTTTATATAGCCAACCATACTAGATTTGCTATTATAATTCTGTTGTATACGATGTTTCCACATATAAATGTGTCTGTTTCTGGCTATTAGTTCAAAACATTTATCTATTTGACTACATGTATAATAACGCCACACTGTTTCATTTACTGTATTTAAAAAAAAAAAATGGCATCTAGACAGGATAAGCCCCTTCTGTCTTATTCCTTTACAAACTAGACCCGGCTATCCTTGGCCATTTGATTTTTCATACAGATTTTAAAACCAGTTTGTAAAATTCTACAAAAGGCCCTCCTCAAATATTACCTAAAAATAAATTTCATTGAAACACTAATTTGGTAAGAATTAACGAAATAATGATAATGAATAATTACATTCATGAACATGGTATAGTTTTCTACTGATTTCTTTAAACAAAGATTTACAATTTTCTCTGTAAATATGTCTTTAATTAGATTTTGTTCCTAGATTTTGTTCCTTGTTACTATAATAAAATCATTTTTGAAAATTACATTTTCTAATTGTGGCATAATGATGTATAGAAACACAATGCATTTTTTGTATGATTCAGGTACCAAATAAGTTTCTGAACACTTTTTGAATCTATCAGTAAATACTTTTGGTTGTTCATTCTGAGCAATTAAATTGTCTATAAGTAGTTACAGATGTTTTTCTTCTTTTCAAATCCTCATAGTTTTTAAAAAATTGTCTCATTGTCCTAGCTAGGATTTCCAGTACAAAGTTTTAAGACATTCCTGTCTTTCTTTCTAAGAGTTCACCTTGAAAATGTTTGCTGTAGCTTTTGGTTAATATTCTTAATCACTTTAAGCATGTTCTCTTATACTCATGGCTTGATGTGTCTTTTCAAACTATGGGTGGAATGTTTAATATTATCAAACACTTTTTCCTGCCTCCACTGATTGATCACATGATTTTTCTCTTTCAAACCTGTGAATGTGATGAATCACCTTAATTCACATGATTTTTTTTATTATGAATTACCTCATATATGTACAAAGGTATAAAGAATACCTTGTACCCACTATATAGCTTAAGTGCACATCAATCTACCTATTACTTAGTTGAAGAAATAAACCATTACAGAAACTTTTGAAGCCCTTTTTCCTCTGTAGTTCTCCTTAAATAAATTCCCCATTATTAGTACCTGAAATTTGGTGTTTCTTTTTCCCATGCATTTTTTCTTTTCCTGTGCATCTATATATTTTCTAGTGATAAACTACACATAAATTCCTGAAATACACCCAACAAAGTCATGACATCATGTATTATCTTAATAATCATACCATCATAATGTAAAACGCCTAAAACAAAAATTAGCAGGCTAGATCCAGGTTTTATTCTTCTTTGGTAAACTTTTAAAAACAACATCGAGTCTGGTCTGTCCTAGCTCCCTCCCATCATCCCACCCTCCCTCTCCTTTTGTTAGCTTTGTTTTTCTTGAGATAATTTATTTATTAGTCGTAGATCTATTCTTGTTTTTAAACTCTTTGTGCATTAGTTTTAGTGCAATTTTTCTAGGTAATTGTTAGCTTTTCTTTATTTTTTCCAAACTTATTGCCCTAAGTGTACTGTGTACTGTTAACATATTTATTATACCTGTAGTGAAGCCCTCCTTTCTTTCCAAATATTATTGTGTCAATTTGTGCCTTTTTTGTATTTTTCTTCTCTAATCTTTCTAGAGATTTATCTTATTAATTTATTAAAACTCACCAAGTTTTACTATTTCCTCCACTGTACCATTTTTTTAGTTTTTGTTTTCACTTATTTTTATAATATTTTTAAAGATATATTTTTTATTTATTTATGCATAGAAGAACTGGGGTCGAGGCCGGAGGTGCAGAAGGTAAGAGGATTCACCAGAGACAGAGTGGGGAGCAGAACAGGAAAATCTACTGAAATGCACTGCTGAGGGGATCAGTGGGCAAGACAGGAAAGGTCTGCTACACCATGAGGGTTAGCTCCCTGGCCCGGGATTGAACTCAGGCCTCAGTGGCTGGCAATAGTTTGATAGTGCTGAGACTTTAATACCTGTGCCACCAGGGAGGCCCCTATTTTTATAATTTTTGATTGCTATCTTTTTAATTTTTTGGATTTACCTTAGCATTCATTTTCTAGCTCTGGTTTGGGAGTTCCCAGACGGGGGAAGCTTTGTACAAGTAAACTTGAAATCATGTGAGACAGAGCCTAGGATTTCAAGCTATCAAAGAAATCACATTTTGTTCTACCTGGAGTCCAGGTTGAAGCAGGCAAGCTTCCCTAGTCTCTATGTAGTGGATAGGTTTTTTCCTTTCTGACTCATCCTTTCACTGATTTTATGTTGGAAGGGGAGAGGAGTTCAATAACCATATGCTTAGGTGCAAGGGCTTTGTCTTCTATCCCTTTGTTACTCTTAACCTCTCCATTCCAGGACAAATGGAGACTCAGTTTTGATTCTGGGCTCCGGAGAACTCCACTCCTCTCAACCTCAGCTCTGTATTTCAAAAGATGCTTGCTAAATTTTATATAGGTGGGTTTCATATTATCTATAGCACATCAACAAGACCTGAAGTTCTAAAGAGCATGTAATACTGAGCATTTTGAATAGGATAGTGCTCCTTGAATTTCATTTAAATGTACAGGACTGAATGGGTTTTGATTGTTTGCTTCCTTTCAAAAACATTCCTTGAATCATCAAGTTATGTGGAATGAAAAATCCCTAGACACAAAAAAATAAAATCCTATGTGAGTTATTCATTTGTATCCTCTTTTCACTAAATTAATACTGATGTCACATCTTCTACTTCTACCAAGGCTTTCAAAGTCAAGTCTAACAACAATTTATTTTTCTGTTGTATTGAGCAGAAATCTCAAAACTAAGCCAAATTTTTATGGCTTTAAGATTATGATAGTAGCACTTCCCATCAAATGACTGCAGGAAGCCTGGAATGAGAGCAATCCTTACAAGATTTTGGCCCATGCCCAGTCACCACAGATTCTAACCTGTTCACAGCTCCCTTATCGCCTTGTGTCTTTGAGGTTCTGATACTTGCAAAAAATAACAAATCAAATCCTTGATGATTTTGATCATACAAGGCTGGTCCCACATTTCCATTTAATTTAGAGAGTGAGATATAGGAAATCTCACCCAATTTGTGTTTGGGTGATACTGAGAAAACACTTTCATTGTCACTAGTAAAGTTCTGTACATCAAGCATAAATATTGGTTTTTAGAAGAAATTATAAAAGAGACCAGGAAACAGCCCTTGCCAATCACCAGATTATTCTGCACCAGGAAGACCTCAATAAATTTGTTCAATTATCAGCTATTAGCTTTTGACTCTTGATTTCTCTTTTCTTTAAATCGCTCAAAGACCTACATCAAACACATGATAATGTTCACCTTTCTTCAAATTCTTCAAGTTCTTCAAAGAAAAGTCTCTTCAGTTAAGTTTTTTTTTTTTCTTAAAAACCTCCCAGTGTTCATTTTCCTTTACTTATGAACTATTTTTTGCCTTCGGACTAATAACTCCTTCACTGTCTTTCTCATTTTGCACAAACCACGGGGCTGCTGGCAGGGTAGGCTTAGCAGAATTCAACCTAGTTGTTCAATTCCACTTGGCTCAAGCCTTTGAATACTGGCTCCTTTTTCCAGCTGTGGCACTGTGTGATGTTGATATCTGACCAGGGTCTGTACTGGAAATAGATCCTACTTTGGTCATTGGTTTCTCTAGAGAATTCCATCAGGGAAGCTCACACTCCCTGAAGCTAGTAAGAGAAAACTGATACCCCATTATCGTTTCTTCTTCCTTTGTCTTTACCTTTCAAGAGGATGATTTCAGGGACAGAAAGACAAACAATCAGGAGGAAATAATAGCAAATTTCAGATTTTTTTTTGGAGTTTGAGAAATTTGTAAATAACAGATATTTCAAAAAATTTCACATCTTTTTTATAATGCACAATACTAAGCTCACACCAGCTTATTTTCTAGAAAAAAAAAATTAAAAGCTGAGTGATTTGAAACTGAAAGATTTTATTTCAACATTTTCAATGTTGATATGAGTTACTCTCATGTTGCATTTTATTTATAGAAGACTAACAAAATAGAGAGAAGATAAATATATCAGTATCTATAATGAGAACTGGCGTCATGTAAATTGTAAATATTTTTGCTTAAAAAAGCACTTCAATAAGGCAGAATTAATTGTTATAAATCTAGAAGCTTAGACTTTTTCCCACAGAGCAAGCCAATTATTTTTTTTTAAATATCTCTAGAATAAATAACAGGACAGTTAACACAAAATAAGGCTCCATTTAATAACAATCAGAACTTTTTTGTCTCAAGAAACTTTTATATAAGATGATCTATTATTATGATTATTTTATCTACAAATTTAAACTGTGTTTCTTGAAGAGCTACAACCTGCATCTAAAAGTAATTGTAGGATTCCATCATGTGCATTCTTGGGGCTCACTGTACATCTTAGGGGCAATGGGGAGACTATAGATTAGACTGTCTCCACTTGGATCCTGCCTTTATTCCTTACTAGAACTATGACTCTCACCATGTTCTTCAACCTTTCTGTGCTTTGATTTTATCATCTGTAAAATGGAGACAAAGAGGCCATCTACTTATAAAGGTATTGTGAGAACTAAATGAATTAATTCATTCTCAGTACTTAGAACATTGTCTGATTCAGAGTATGTACCCACCAAGTTTCTTTAATAAATGTTGATTCTTTTTAACATAGTAGGTTAAAAGTTGCTTACCAATCTGGGGTCAATTTCTTCATTAAGAACAGCCTCATTTTTTATGAGTGCCACTCGTTGTGCAAATCTGCAGGTAGATATAGATTCCTAAGAAGGCAAAATAGCGCCTTTAAACACTGTGGCAGAGAAAGATCAAGGTAAATTTTTATTCCCAACAAAAGGATACACACTTAAAGAGTAATAAATATGAAACACAATAAGAAATTATTCCTCTAAATTAGAGATTTTTGCTCTAGAGCATTGTTTTTTATGAAAATTCCGTTTGACTCAGTAAAATGACTGATCTCCAAAAAATGTGAGCGATCCCAAGACCTTAAGTGGCAACTGGTATGCATTCTCAATTATTGATTTGTAAAATGAGGGCTACAATTACACTAATCACAATATAGCAGGTATCATAATCCAGAAACATGAAAATCTACAAAATATTTGTAACAGACCAAAAAGATGTTTTTCAAGGCATCTTCCCATGCAGTTGGGGCTTGGTCTTTTTGAGAGACACCCTGTCACTTTCTGTTCTTCTCTTTTGGAGAAAGTCTGGAGCCTAAACATTTAATTGACATTCATGAAACATTAACCAACTCTAACGCAACCTGGGAAAACCACTAAGTAGCTAGCTCCTGCCAATGCATCCTGGGTGCTGCCTCAAGGGACATGCCTAGGGACACATCTTGAAGATGTACTCCAGGAATCTTAGTAATCAGAAGCAAAGCCAAGCAGGGGAAGCCAAGGTAACCTAACATATCAGCAGCCCTTCTTCAAACTCTCCTGTGCCAGGAGAAAGTCAATTTTCTAGCGGGCTAAGTATAATGCTCACCAATAAACCAAAGCTGTGAACTCTGGAGGGTATTCACCTCTACCAGCACACCAAAACCCTGCTGAAAAGATGGAAGCTCACGCAGGACCCTCAACTATTCCTCACAAGCTAGCAAGAAAAACTCAGACAGGGTCTCCCTATGGTGCAAGATGTTAAGTCTCAGCACAATGAAGCTACTGGCAGTTAAGTCTCAACACAATGAAGCTATTGGCAGCTACAAAACATGAGTTTGACCCCCAGCCAGAGAGCTGACCCACATGGTGCAGCAGACCTCTCCTGTCTCACCCACTGCTCCCCTCAGCAGTGTATTTCAGTAGATCTGCCTATTCTGTTCTCTACTCTGTCTCTGGTGAATCCTCCCACCCCCACACCTCTGGCCTATACCACAGTTCTGGGATGCATAAATAAAATAAATCTTAAAAAAAAACAAGAAGCAAAAAACAAACAAACAACTCAGACAGATTTCCAGAAAGAAGTAACATACGTCAATATTCCTTTTCTCTAAAGAGAGTGTTGCAATCATGGTCGTCATGCAGTTCCCTCCCAGACTGTCTCTCAGGACGCTGGTCATCATGGAGTTCCTGTAGGGGATGTGTGAACGGTGTTTTTCTGAAAGGGCAATAATAACCTGCAGTAAAGTAGAAAAATAATGGCATCGACTTAGCAGAAAACACACATCTGACAAACAACTGAGGTGCAACTATGATAAAAATACAGAAGGAAATGAGAACTGAATGCAAAGTGACAGCTAAAAACTTGCTCAGAATAAATATGTTAACAATATTTGGTACAATGATGGTGAAGATGGAACAAAGTGACTGCAGCAGAAAACATACCATTGTGAACCCTGTAATTTTTGGACAGATGACGTAACTTGTACCGAATTGGATACACTATTATTCTGTTTTCAGCCATTGGAAAATTCATATAAAAATCCAAGAGTAAATCATGCCAGATTTTCAAAATCCTACCAAAGTTTATCCATATGGCCCTTCATAAAGGTAGAAGAGGAAGAGCAGTAAATAAGAACTGTGAGAGGGAGTACAGGGTACTTGTGGGAACCCCTGGAAGTTGGGAAGATTAGAACAGTTCAAATGTGCAAATTACTTTGAGTAGTTAGTGTTACACACATTTGCTATCATTGTATGTGATGTGGGAGGTGGGAGGCTACCTTCTTTCACTAGGGTTGTTTGTCTTACTCATCACGAGTGTCAAGTACTTAATAGGAACATACTAGCTAGATGGATGGCTCATGGATTAAAGGCTGCTGTGTACTCATCCCCAAAGGAAGCTACCAGGAAAAAGTCATTCACAGATATGACTCTAGGGGCACCACAGAGCTCTGGCTTCTGAAAATTCAGACCTCTGCCAACACTTTTCTAGTCTTCCCTCCAACCAGCTGAATAATTCCCATCATCAGACCTTCTTCTACTACATTGGTTAACAAAACAAGATGGAGCATTGTTTTTGGAGACCAACTGGGGCAAAAATCAAACAATTATGTCCCTAGTCTTGCTTTAAATTCATGACCACAGATTTTCCTACAAATTAGAAATATGTGATAGCTCTCAAAATCACTGTTTTACTCTCAAAAATGAGGTCTTCACACCTTAACCTTTCATTTCAAACCTCTATCCAGTTTTCTTTCCTCACCTACAGTGTTAGATCATGGCCACAAATCCATCTCCTAGTTGCTAGCCTGGCCAGGACGATTTCATATCCCATCACTAAATCCCTTATACCTTCTGCCCTTACCTTTGTCACTGTCCTGTTCCTGTCTAAGGTCAACCCTCCATCCCTTTTCTCCACTTATCTACTCTGCTTCTACAATTAGACCATCTCTCTTCTGCATCAATCTCTCTCTTATATGGATCATTCCCATCTTGCATGTCCACTAACTACTAAACTTAGATGACTCATCAAGGTCATCAGCAACCTCCATTGTGCTAAAAGCACTGACGTATGAATCTCCTAATCATTAGACACAGGCACTCATTCCTTTCTTTAGGAAATACTTTACTCACTTGATGAAAATAGAATGCCACACTCTTCTAGTTTTCATCTTTCTTCAAGCACTAGTCAACAACTGTTTCTGTTTCTTCTTCCCTAATTGTAAATAGTGGAGTGTTCCAGGGCTCAGTCCTTGATCCTCATCTCTTTCTTGCCCATACTCTGTCTGTGTAATTTCATCCAATCTCCTGGCACTAAATACATCTATGTCCTGATGTTGCTCCATGTATATCATCAATCTCAACTTTTTTCTTGCACTGCTATCTCTGTGGCAACTCTACATCTCCACTTAGAAGTCTCTTCTTGACTTTATATCCTCTTTACCCAAACCTGATTGTTAGCCAGGTGTTACCCATGGTGATTAACTCCACCACCACTATTTTTTTTGTCTCAGACCAAATCCCTAGGTAACATCCATAATTTCCCCTTACCTCCAACATGCAATACATTTGCAATTTCTGTTAGGTTTACTTATAAAAAACACCCAGGACTGGAATACCTCCCCCTTGCTGCCTTTGGTCACCATTCAGAATAAACCTTCATTGTTCCTTCCTTGCATAACTATACCAAGGTTTGATTTAGTCTCTATGCTTCTACTTTTGCTCTCCCAGAGTCTATTCTCTACATAGCAGTCAGAGGAATCTTTGTAAAATATAATCTAAAGCAACTTACTGACCTGGTTACAATCTTCTAGCTATTTCTAGATACACAAAATACAATCCTCTCTATCTGACCTCGTCTCCTGTCATGCTCTCCTTGCCCACACTTGCCTTGCTGTTGCTTACCCCCACATCACAAATTTCAAACTTGTTCCTTTCACCTGGAACACTTTTACCCCAGCTTCCTGCTTTCCATCATTCAAATCTTTGCTTAAATTTTATCTTCAAGGCTTTCCCTGAGCACCCTGTCAAAACTAACATACTGATCTCCAAGTTGTTATGCTATTTTTCTTCTGGTACTCATTACTATTTGAAATCCTATTCAATTATTTAATTGTTTGTTTTCTGTATGGATGAGAACCCACAGACAGTGACTTGTCCACACCTTGGGCACTGTTCCTTAGCACTCTTCTGGAACTCTTTGGCCCTTTTTTTTGCACTCTTTAGCATTGTTTCACTTTCTATGGAGGGTTCTAAAATTATTAAAGAAAAGAATTAAAATTCAAAATGGAATTATTGATTAGAAAAGATGGATGGTCTTCAAGAATGCAGAAAATGAAGGTAGCACATGAGAAAAGAAAGATCTCAGGACTTAGAGGAACCAGTTATGTCACTAGGGTAATTTTAGACAAAGCTCTTAAAATTATCAGCCTCAGTTTCCTCACCTGTAAAACGCAGGATTAGAATGCCTGCCTCTCTCACAACGTTGCTTGAAAGATCCATAGAAATTGTTTCTGGGATACTTTTAGTAAAACAAAAAGCACTCCATTTTGTGGCGAAATCTCCAAAGCTTTATTCTTACGCTCCTTTTGAAGACTTGTTTTAGCTATAAACCCAGCCCTAGGCCATTTCTTTAGAAGAGGACTCCTCAGCAACAAAGGCATTTAGGAATACCTTCATAAGTCCAGACTTCTTGGAGTAGATTCAAATATTCAGTAATCCAGAAATGGTCATTGTTTGGGAGAAAGGCAGAGGTAAGTCATTCTTTGTGGTACTGCTGAGGGCTGTCTACAGTGGACAGGAACCAAATGATCTGAGAGGTATAGGGCAAGTACGTGGTTGTACAACCTGGATTTCTTTTTATTGTTTACTCCCATTTTGGATTTCCTGTATAAATTCAATAAGTTCCTGAAGGCATTCTTTAAGCAACAAAGAGGGAAACCTCACATTATACTTAATAATATTTCCAAGGGCCTTCCCTGGTGGCGCAGCGGTTGAGTGCTGGGCTGCGAAGCTGCCCGCGGCCTCTGCAGAGCTGGTTCGATCCCCAGCTACCAGCGAGGGTCCCACATGGCGCAAAGACCTCTCCTCCCGTGTCCGCTGCTCCCCTCAGCAGTGTATTTCGTCAGTCTCTCTGTTCTGTTCCCCGCTCTGGCTCTCGTGAATTCTCTCACCCTTCCGTGCGTCTGACTGTACCCAGTCCTTGCATAAATAAATAAATCTTTAAAAAAAATATTTCCAAGTATCTAGAAACAATGTCTGAAATCAATAATTCAGTTTACTATTTAATGAATTAGAGATTTGCTTTTGAAGAACTCAAAAATGCATGGAAAAGTATTCTCTGAAAACTGACAAAGGTTTGAGTGGTGACAACTGTCACTGACACCACTAGATTTTTCTCTTGAACATAACACATTTGAAGGAAGCCAAGTGGAAACTGAAACTGAAAAAAAATCCCACTCATGTTGGTTAACTGTCTGCAAGTGTCCCTGATTCTGATTTCTGTAGAGGTGAAGAGCAAACACTCTCTGTTCTCAGTGGTTTCACACTTGATATTTGGGCTGATAGAGACCGCGGGTCACACCAGGGGCACTCGGTGAGGCTGAAGGTTGGAACAAGCATGCATGTCCCCTTCTTTTTCCTCCATGGATTTGGTTCTATGGCCAAGAAGTACCCTGTTATTGTGGCTTAAAATGTTTTCTTGAGGAGACTTTTTGGAAAAAGTACTGCATACACAAGGAAAACTCCAAAACCAACAATACTCTGGCAAACAGAAGGTTATTAACTTATGCACACAGTAAAGTGTATTCAACTCAGAAAGTCTGTATCCCACAAGCAGGAATAAGGTCTCACAATTATAGCCAAAAGGGCAGTTTCAATTCTGCATGGAATTTCTAAAACCAGTGCAGGCTAATTACTATAAGAAAGGTTACCCAACTGTCTATTTCTTAGTTCACCTCCATGTTATATATTGAAACTGAGACAATGAGAAGGTAATTAATTACTGACGCTTACACGAATGTCTATTACAGCACTTATCGCAATCTATTGTAAGAGTTTGTTCATAAGCTTTGTTCTTTTACTGGATAACATGATAACACAGGCTATTTCTCGATCATACATTTATCCCTGTTACCTAACATTACATAGCACCCAGTGGACACCCAATCATAATTTGTCAAATGAATGAATGAGTGAATGAATGAAATTAATTACATTATGTCACATTTCCAGTCTTATTGGTGACATAATAAAGAACTACATAAAGAAAAATTTGATTATAAAATTCCTTAAATGCTATTGTTTCATTAAAAGTATCTGCCTGTTCTTTTAATTATTCTCATTCCCATGTACTCTTTGGCTCTTTCTCTCTTTTTGTGTGAAATTTGAAAATTTCTTTACTATCCACCTATTTCCTCCGGTAGCTACTCCTAGATTCACTCAGTTCTACATATCCACGTCCACCGATGCAGTTTTTCATATTTATGTTCTTTCCTCTCATACCAATCTGGTCTTTTCCATTATTTTTTTGCTATAACCTACATCCCAAAACTTATAAATCAGCGTAAATAGTTAATAACGGGAGTGATGCAGTGGGTGAATATGCAACCAAAAAATTACATTCAGAAAACCAGAGGCCAATGACATGGGCTGTCACTGTGACCTTGGGTCAATCAATCCCCCTGGACTGGAGCTCAGGGCTGACAGGCTCCCAGTTCCCACTGCCTGACACATTCTAACTCCACCCTTGCCTGGCTCTCTCCTACTCATTCTTCAGGTCTCTGTTTAATATCAGACTGGAGAGAACTTGCATTAACTCTCACCTCCTCAGACTAAATCTGAGGCCCTGGTACAAGTTCTCCTCACCCGTGAGACTCTCACCTGGACTCAGCCATGCACTTAATGATTACTTATTACATGGCTTCCTACACTGGACCATGGCAGCTTTGGGGCAAGGACTGTCTCTCCTTTGTCAACCACTTTGCTCCACTGCCCAGTGTAGTCCTGGGCACATCATCGTTCCTGACACACTTTTGTGAACGAAATAAACTAGTTATATAGAAAATCAATCACAGTCACCAAGACTACTCACAGGGGGCTCATGTTACAGGAACTTTGAAGAGGAGAACAGTGGGGGGAGGAATAGTTTTCATGACAAGTAGCAGCTTGCAAAGGTTGTGAAGAATGAAGAAAAAGAAAGGATTCAGGACAGAACATTTCTCTTGAGTGAGTACAATTGGTGGAAATTCTGATTCAACTGATGAATATAATTTAGTAAGAACAGATGTGCATAAAGGAATTTAAAACAGACAGTGCTACCATGCAAAATAAGAAGGCTATTTCTTTGAAATAAAGCACTTTCAATATAGTCCATTATGTTTTCATATCAATGTTGTATAAGAGTCCTATTAAATAAAAAGCTCTGTTAAGTCTAAGTAGTATGTAATATGTGAGCAAGAAGGAGCTCAGGAAGGCTGACTCTCACCAGAAACACTAAAATTATCAGAATTCCATGCAGGCTTTAATCTTGGGGCTGCATGACTGGAGTCCACTTGGCCGAGGTCTGTGTGAACCTTGTTCACTTGAAGCATCGTTAGCCATCTCTCCATTGTCAGCTGACTTCAGTACTATTTAAGAGCATTTAACATCAAGACAACATCAGTCTCAAAAGGGTTCATTGTTTTTTATAAAAGGTTTTTTTTTTTTTTTTTGGTTGTTTTCTCAAATCTGCTGGCCTCCAACATTCATTAACAAATTCTTCTGCCTTACCCATGTACACTGTATTTTTCCACTCCAATTTTCAATCATGTTTATTTTTTCAAAAGAATCTTTAAAAGTAGTGTCATTTTTAACATTCAGCTCACAGCACCTACAGAGATGAAAGCAACTTGAGAAACCATCTCATTCAATCCATTTATTTTATAGATGAGAATTTTTTATAAGATTTATTTAGCTAAATTCAGATGCGCTTTCTCTGCCCTTGGAGTCAAATTCAGAAATTAAAAATAGAGCACACGTTGGGGTGGACTGTAGCAAACTTGGGGTAAGGTTAGGGAGGGAACGCTAAGACAAATAGAACCATTGCAGGGTCAGAATTGCCACTAGAGGGCCTCCCCCGTGGCGAAGCTTCCCGCAGCCTCTATGGCGCCGGTTCGATCCCCGGCTGCGCTTCTGACTGTACCCAGTGCATGTATAAACAAAACAAACAAACAAACAAATAAATAAATAAGTAAAACATGCCTCTATAAAGAAAAAAAAAAGAATTGCCACTAGAGGGGGTCACAACGCTGAAAAGATATTGATCATTTCTAATTCATGTTCTCACAGCTAATCTGCTAATCTGAATAAAACAGGCTTTGAGAGGCCATTTATACTCATTTTTCACAATCACCACAGATTTTGCAATAAAAACAATGAGGTGTAGTGACAAAAGCACAGGCCCTAGAGCTGAGCAATTTTAGTTTCAAATCCTCATCTAACCACTCATCTAACCAGTAACCTCGGGATGACCTTGGGAAGACCTGAATTTTAAAATATCTAAGATGGGAGAATAAGTAATACCTGCAGTATAGGGCACTATGAGTTTTAAATGAAATGGTATGTACAAAATGCTAGTATCTATACCGATATTTATAACAGAGGTAGAAACAATAGCCAAGAGGCAGAAACAACACGAATGTCCACTGGATAAGCAACATATGATAGAGTATTATTCAACTTTAAAAAAGAAGTAAATTATAATACATGTTATAACAGAGACTTTGAAAACATTTTGCCAAATGAAATAAGCCAGACACAAAAGGACAATTATTGTATGATCCCACTTATAAGAGAGCAGGCAAATTCAAAAACATAGAAAGTAGAATATAGGTTGCCAGGTGCTAATAGTATAAGAAAATAGGGAGTTATTGCTTAATGGGTACAGAATTTCTGTTCTGTATGAAAAAGTTCTACGAATGGATAGTATAGATATAAAACACTGTTTAGGAACTTAATGCCATTAAATATTATACCTAAAAAATTAAAATGGTAAAGTTTGTTATACATATTTTACAACAATAAAAGAAGAAAAGAAACACAACAAAACAAAAATGTCAGTGGAATGACTGATGCAAAGAGTGTGGGAGATAGGGGCCTCCCTGGTGGCACAAGGGGTTAAGCACCACATTATGAAGCAATCCGCAGCCTCTGCAGCATGAGTTTGATCCCCAGCAGGCCAGGGAGCAACCCACATGGTGAAGGAGACCTCTCCTGTCTCACCCACTGCTCCCCTTAGCAGTGTATTTCAGTCAGTCTGCCTGTTCTGTTCCCCACTCTGTCTCTGGTGAATCCTCTCACCCCGCCCCACTGCCCTCTGCATCTCTGGCCTGTACCCCAGCTCTTGTATGCATAAATAAATAAATCTTTAAACAAAAAGTATGGGAGATAAAAGGCAGTATAGTTATATCCCACTTTGCTCACTTTACCTGTTCTAAATAATGTAGTGACAAGTTGATATACTTGGCCTCTGTCAGCAGTAGACCCCCTACTCCAGTCTTTGCAACTCTTTCTGAACCAGCCAGGTCAACCAAATGAAGTTTCGCATGTCGGACAGTTGCACATCCTGGTTCCTTGCTTGTTAAGTGAATAGTAAAAATGCAGTGGGAGCGTGTTGAAGCTTGGTTCATGGGAGTCTGTAAAAAATAAATTTCGAAACAAAAATAATGTGAACAATGAGAATTTTTGAAGAATGTCAACGGATTTAAATTACATTTGCAATGATAGGACATTTTCCATGAAGCCAATGCTGACAAATGGAGCAAAAATACTGAAACCCTTATAATGAAGTATTTTCAACACATTACCTCTTAAAGGACTATTAACAGACATGGTTGGGTTGACTTAGAAAGTAAGAAAAGGGTTTGAATGAGGTATAAGCATGAGTCCTCTTACCAGTGACAACTTTATTTTATTACATGACCACATGTAATGGATGCAGGGGATGAGAACAGGTACATTGAGAGAATTCATTATACAGTGTAAATGCAACCCACAGACAAGGATGCCCAATACCTCTACCATCACCCAGATCTGAAAGGAGGTCCCAATCAATGTAATTGACAAGAAAAAGAAAGACAGGGCATAGTGATAGGAAAAAGGGAGATTAAAGTGTATATGTATATATGTATAGAAAATATTTGTGTGTAGAAAATGTGGTGATTTACATAGAAAATGCAAGAGCGTCTCCAAAAAAACTGTTAAAAACCACAAAGTTTAGCAGGGTTGCTAGATTAGCATGCAAAATCATTGAAGTTCTAATAACTCAAAAACAATTAATTGGGAACTATAATACTATTCATAATGGTAACAAAGAGGATAAGGGGTTAATTTTATGAAATATGTGCAATTTTTAAAGAAAATGAAAGATCATATTAAAGGACACAAAAATGAAAATCTGAATTGTGTACTAGATAGTAACATATCAATTCAAGGATGGGAAAACTCAATATTAACTTATATAATCTCTATGTATTCTCTTATATTCTCAATGAACATGCCATAATTTTTGTTTTTGGAATAGAACAAGGTGATTCCAAAAATCAGATGTAAGAGCACATAGAAAAAAAATAGCAATTCTGTGAAAACAGTACAAAGCTGTTCTCTATCAAGATTTATCATAATACCATAGGAACGCATGTGGGGTCAGCACAGGGTCAGATAACTAGATCAGCAGATGCTGCTGTGATCACTTAGGAACTCTGTACAGGATAGAGGGACCATCATACTGTAGTGGAGAGTGGATGGGATGAATTAATAAATGGTGCTGGAATAATGGGCTCTCCATCTTAAAAAAATAAATTGGGATTGCTTTCTGACACTACAAACACATATAAATTGCAGAATGAATTAAAAACGTATGTGTAAAATAACATAACTTTAGCACTAATATAAGAAATTGTGGAAGTATATTGTAATGAACTCAAGAGAGCAATGGATATTTTATGCAAAGATAAAATACAGAAATTAATTGATTTAAAATATTTGATAAAACATCTAAAATTGGAGAACTTTTTGGTGGTAAAATCTACCATGAAGTTAGATGATTAGAAGAAAATATTTGCAATCATATGGCTGACAAAATATTAACATGTGAAATAAAGGACACCCTACAAATCAACAGGAAAAAGACAAGTGACTCAGAAAAGAGTGACTAAGCTACCCATAAAGAAGAAATTTTAAAATGGACAAAAAGTATTTAAAAAAACTGTTCAAACTCACAAGTAATTTGGACAAATAATTTGGAGCCATAATGGTAAACTGTTTCATTCATACCCATCAGTCTGGCAAAACTGTAAAAAGTAAAGTCTAACAAAAAAATATGGTTGGGAACTATTATAGACTGCTGGTGGGAACAGAAATTAAGAATCTATGTGAGAGCAATTTGACAATATGTGGTAAAGTTGCAGATGCATATAACCCAGAAGCCAGCAATAGAACACTAAGTATATTTCCTGAAGAGCAGAGAAAATCTGGGTTAGACATACCCGGGTGGGGATAGGGAGTGGGTGGGGAGGAGAGTGAGAGAGAGAGAGAGAGTGGCTGAGAGAGAGAGAGAGAGAGAGAGAGAGAGAGAGAGAGAGAGAATGATTGCAACATTGTTTGGGATAGCAAGAAATTGATACAAGATGTACAACCTAAATGAACATATGTAGTGGAAAAGATGACTAAACTATGATAATTCAAACTATAGAGAAGTTAAAATGAAGTACCCTTTTCATAGATTGACAGACAGATTTCTAAAACAATGCTGAGGAGAAACAGCAAGTGAAAGAACGATATAAACTATAAATTCTATGATAGAATTTAGATAAGCAAAGAAGCAAAGGTGCTATAACTTAGGTCATTAAAAGTACAAAAATATAGACTAGAAGGATCCTTTAAATACACAATGGTGGTCTTTGTGAGGGATAGAAGGGAAAAGCCCAACAAGGGAACTTCAACTTTATCTGTAATGTCCAATTGCTTTTATTTAAAAAATTATTAGACACAAATTCTAATATCTAAAAATATCGAAAAGTCATCAAAAATATTCCAAATGAATGCTCACATGAGTTAATGTGTTCAGAGCTCCATTTTTGTAAAAACAGAATTTAACTAAAGAATTTCCATATGGATGCCCATAATATGCAGATAGGGTAACATACTTGGATGCTATTTCAACCAAAACTTCTCTCTGTAAATATAAATTCTTGATATATATCACCATTGATTTATACCAACTAGCAAAATACACAGATGTCAAAATATTGGCATCATTTTGGTGATGATGATGGAGCCAGTGAGTTAAATAGGCTGAAAATTTGACCCATTACTTGTTGCCACAATAACTCTACCCAAACCTAGCCAGTGTGTGATTTTGCAAGCTAAAGTGGATCGGCAAATAACTGTGCATGTAAAACCACAAAGTTAAATTTAGAACCTAAGTTGAGGTGTTTTGGAAGTGACTGTAAGTTATTTGCAGAACTTAAACATGGGTTTCATTTCACTGTTATATTTGCACAACAATAAATCCTACAGTACTGTAACAAAAGTCAAATGGACAATCAATACAAACGAATAACATACACCATCCTCAACAGCTGTCTTCAGCTTCTAAATTGATAGACTGATGTTACAGTAAGACGTGGGTCATTAGCAAACACTGTAAGAGTGTACCCATTTCAAAGGAAAGTGAGATTTACACTTAAATTGTAATTTTGGAGTCTGCAATTAAAATGCAGTAATATGGTGTAGGAGTCCATGCCTAGCATTTTGTAACTTCTCATAAATATTTTCTGCATGAAGTAGTAGTTGCTGTCCTCTTAGCTAAAATTTTTCTTAAACCTCAGAAAACATTCTTTAGCTATTTAAATGTGAGTGAATGTGCTGGTGTCTGCTATATATTTATTTGAGGACATCTTCATGTCTCACAGGCATACCCCTACAATTGTCCTTTTAAAGGTAAAATTGTATTAAAACATTTTGGAAACTGCTTAAGAACAGATGGCCCCATTTAGGGAGATTCATTCAAATTTAAACACACATTTTAAACAAATGTGCTTTTGGCACTAGAGACTGTGCTTTTGGAAAAATTGTAGTGATGATTAATCATCCATACACACAAAGCTTTCACATTTCATATCAGTCTTTGTATACAGCTTTGTGTTGGGCAGTACAGAGACCATAAGGAAAATAAGACACAGACCTTGCCCTCAAGGAATCTATAATCTAGTTCAGAAAGTAAAGTCAAAATGTGTGAAATGAGTGAATGATGAGCCAAAGGTAAATGTGAAGTAAAGAAAGGAATCGGTTCACCACACTGAGTATCCTGATCCTGTAGGTAATATCTGAGAGCACTAACCATTCCCTCATTCTGGAAGCTCTCCACTCCCCTGCTACTGTCTGGTTTCTAGAGTCAAAAACTTTTCTGATACTTTTTCACTAACTGCTCTGTGTCCTTTTCTTTTATTGGACCCTTTATTCTGTAGGTCCTAAATTATGCATGTCTCACATTGTGTTCATCATGTATCTCCCCCCTGGAGGAAGGAACTCCTATAACTCTTATTTTCACTGGATATTCATCAGAGTGTCATTTAAAATCACACACCAAAAATCTTAGAATTTGGTAATGAGAGCATCTGGTTCAAGTCTTGGTGCCTTTGCTCCCTAGTGTTGAAATCTAATGCAAATTTACATGAAAGAACGTTGGTTTTCACATCTTTGGAATGCCATCAGAAGACTTGCTTTGCTGTGAAGAGAAACAAAATACCAATTGAAGCTGGACATCTTGGGATGGTGTGTGAACTATATAAAAGGTCATTTAAATGTCCATCACTGGGCCTCCCTGGTGGTGGAGGCGGTTGAGCGCAGCTCTGTGAAGCTTTCCGCAGCCTCTGCAGTGCGGGTTCGATCCCCGCCGGCTGCAGAGCAACCCACATGGTGCAGCAGACCTCTCTTGTCTCTCTTGCTGCTCCTCTCAGCAGTGTATTTTAGTCAGTCTGCCTGTTCTGCTCCCCACTCTGTCTCTGGTGAATCCTCTCACCATCACACACATCTAGCCTGTACCCCAGTTCTTGTATAAATAAATCTTTAAAAACAAAAAAGTCCATCACTGCTGATAGTTACTTTATTCACATGCCTCCCATAACCTTATTTCCAACCACAGTTTCTCTGTACACCAGATTAGAATGTCCAAGATCTGGGCCGATAATTCTCAAAAAATACCTTGTCAGCATCTTCAACCTGATGTTCGCCAAAACAACCTCATCAATTTCCTGCACTCTGTGTCCCATGATGGATACCCAATCCTTCTGAATCCTTTTGATTTTAGCTTCACTTCTTTCCATCTCCAAATATCCTTTATCTCTCACCTGGGTTTCTGCATTCTGTCTTTACTAGTCTCCCCATATTTACCCTGCCTCCTCCAATTATACACCAACTTCCAAAGAGTACTATTTGTTAAAAACATATTTGAAGTAAACTAGTATGCATTCTAAGGCTACATATCTCTAGTACCTTCAGCTGTGTCTTATGCTACTGTATGTCAAACTATTTCAAATATGGCACTCTGACGCTCTGAATTGAATATATTCTTCAAATATAGCCTAACCATAGCAGAGAACATTGGAATCTGGGTAATCTAAATGTAGTACTG